GGGACTGAGAGAGACAGAGAGACAGGAGAGAGAGAGAGGGAGAGTGGGAGGGGAGAGAGAGAGCGAGATAGAGAGAGCGAGAGGGGGATAGAGAGAGCGAGATAGAGAGAGCGAGAGAGAGAGAGAGATAGGGAGAGTGGGAGAGAGAGAGAGACAGAGAGAGAGAGAGAGACAGAGAGAGAGACACCTGTGTAATTCTGTCCTGCAGTTTGGCTCTGTCCGCCTGCAGCGACTGAAGCTCCGCCTCCAGCCCCGCCCTCGCCAGCTCCGCCTCCTGCAGTGATTGGCTGAGGCTGAGACGGACAGAGTCCAGCTCCAGTCGGTCCTGCTCGGAGCGAACGAGCTCGTCTCTGATGGTCAGCTTCTCTTGTTGCGCTTCTCTTCGCTGAGACAGCAACACACTCTTTTCCTCCTCCAGCTGTCAATCATTCAAACAACATCAATATCATTGGTTCAATGAAAAACACATAATATTAACTGACAATATGAACCAAACAAATCCTAATGGGTAATCTCAAGCCCCAACTAAATCAACTTAGTATGATGAGTACATTAAACGTAAGGAAGTTAAATGTGTGTGTGTGTGTGTGTGTGTGTGTGTGTGTGTGTGTGTGTGTGTGTACCTGTACGACGAGGCTGTTGAGTTCAGACTTGTCCTGCGCGAGACTCTCGTTAATGGCGCTCATCTTCGCGAGCGAATCTCTGAGTGACGACTCCTCCGAGTGAAGCTTCGTGACCGCTAGCGAGAGCTCAGCGCGACTGCTCTCACTCTGCACATAAAAACACACATATTACACAAAAATATATATTACTATTGTAATATTTCACTGTAAAATAGAAAAAAAAAAAATCAATTTAGCTTCTATTTTGGCGGGAAACCCCTGAGAGCCCTTAAAGCTTCTCATTACTCATTACACACGCACGTTATAATCGACCCATACTCAGATGTGATCCGGAGACACTGCAAACACACACAGTGCCCACCTTACTCTGGAACACGCAGTGCATACAATACATTTATCTACACTGAACAACATTATAAACACAACACTTTTGTTTTTGCCCCCATTTTTCATGAGCTATCTATGTACACAAAAGGTCTATTTGTCTCAAATATTGTTCATACATCTGCCTAAACCTGTGTTAGTGAGCACTTCTCCTGTGCCGAGATCATCCGTCACCTCACAGGTGTGGCGTATCAGGATGCGGATTACACAGCAGGATTACTGCACAGGTGTGCCTTAGGGCTGTCCACAATAAAGGCCACTCTATAATGTGTCTCCGCCTCCATCATCTGTCTGTCTGACGCCCCCTGCTGGAGAGTGTGTGTGTGTGTGGGTGTGTGTGTGTGTGTGTGTGTGAGTGTGTGTGTGTGTGTGAGTGCGTGTGTGTGTGTCTGACCCGGGTGAGTGTCCCTCAGCTGTGTGTTCTCCGCCTCCATCATCTGTCTGTCTGATGCCCCCTGCTGGAGAGTGTGTGTGTGTGTGTGTGTGTGTGTGTGTCTGACCCGGGTGAGTGTGTCCCTCAGCTGTGTGTTCTCCGCCTCCATCATCTGTCTGTCTGACGCCCCCTGCTGGAGAGTGTGTGTGTGTGTGTGTGTGTGTGTGTGTGTGTGTGTGTGTGTGTGTCTGACCCGGGTGAGTGTGTCCCTCAGCTGTGTGTTCTCCGCCTCCATCATCTGTCTGTCTGACGCCCCCTGCTGGAGAGTGTGTGTGTGTGTGTGTGTGTGTGTGTGTGTGTGTGTGTCTGACCCGGGTGAGTGTGTCCCTCAGCTGTGTGTTCTCCGCCTCCATCATCTGTCTGTCTGACGCCCCCTGCTGGAGAGTGTGTGTGTGTGTGTGTGTGTGTGTGTGTGTGTGTGTGTGTCTGACCCGGGTGAGTGTGTCCCTCAGCTGTGTGTTCTCCGCCTCCATCATCTGTCTGTCTGACGCCCCCTGCTGGAGAGTGTGTGTGTGTGTGTGTGTGTGTGTGTGTGTGTGTGTGTCTGACCCGGGTGAGTGTGTCCCTCAGCTGTGTGTTCTCCGCCTCCATCATCTGTCTGTCTGACGCCCCCTGCTGGAGAGTGTGTGTGTGTGTGTGTGTGTGTGTGTCTGACCCGGGTGAGTGTGTCCCTCAGCTGTGTGTTCTCCGCCTCCATCATCTGTCTGTCTGACGCCCCCTGCTGGAGAGACTCTCTCAACGCCGCCAGTTCAGCTCGCAGTGCAGAAGCTCGACACTCCGACTCGTCCCACATCTGCTGACTGACACACACACACACACACACTCGTTCTTCACTGAATAACTGTAACTATATCTGTAATGTATATTTTATTTATAAACTACAGTTATTTTACATTTGATTACAGTTTCTGCACCTGAAAATCTTAAAACACAGTTTATTTCAATCGTATCTTTGTTCAGTTGTGTCTATGTGTTGCGATCGCTAATGTTTTATTTGTTCTTGTGTAATGACTGAGTGTTTATTGTGTGTAATAATGCTGGAAGTGTGTATTAGTTGGGC